AGGAGGAAAAAGAAAAATTCGAGTTGATTTTTTTTAAATTATATCCTTTTTCTATTCACAGTTTTTCTAAGGATATCAAATTGAGACAAAAAAACGTATAAAAATTGTTGCGAGGCAACAATTTTGAAAGGTTTTTTGTCTCAATTTTATATCCTTAGAAAAACTGTAATTTTCATATGAAAACTAATTGTTGCCTCGCAACAATTTTGATATCCTTGTCTCAATTTGATATCCTTAGGAAAACTGTAATTTTAATATGAAAACAAAATATATAAGCGGGGGGTAAAAATTTATTATTAATAATCCAGATTGATTTTTATAGTTGTAAATTAATAATTATAAAAAAATTTAACCACAAAATAGTGAAAAAGAGTGGAAGTGTGATATTCAATTCATTATTATTATGAAAATTACAAAACTTTTTATTATGAAATATAAATTTTTGAATAATTTCATAAACAAAAATTTTTAAAACTCACTTACTAATTACATGATTAATTAATATTTTTTTGCATTTTCAAAAATTTTAATATAATTCTTCGTCAAGATTCAATTATTTTCATAAATAACAACATTCTTCGGAAGAATTCAATTATTTTTAAAAATAGTAAAATTTTTTGCAAAAATTAAATTATTTTTAATAAAATTTTAATAAAAATTCACGAAAGATTTCAATTATTTTCTAAAATTTTAATAAATCCTTCGAAACAATTAAATTATTTTCAATAAAATTTCACGAAAGAATTCAATTATTCTCTAAAATTTTGATAAATTCTTCGAAAAAATCCAATTATTTTCAATAAAATTTCACGAGAAAATTAAATTATTTTCTAAATTTTAATAAAAAATTCAATTTTTTTCCTAATTCGTTATAAAAATTTTTTCCAAATAATTCAATTATTTTCTATAATTTTTATAAATACTTTGAAAGAATTCAATAATTTCTATAAATAGTAAAATTCTTTACAAAAATTCATTTATTTTTAACAAAATATTTATAAAATTTAACGAAAGAATTCAATTATTTTATGAAATTTTAACAAATCCTTCCAAACAATTCAATTATTTTCAATAAAATTTCACGAAAAAGTTACTAACAATTTTCTACAATTTTAATAAATCCTTCGAAACAATTCAATTATTTTCAATCAAATTTCACGAAAGAATTCAATTTTTTTCCTAATTTGTTATAAAAATTTTCAAAATAATTAAATTATTTTCTAAAATTTTTAATAAAATGTTTCTAAAGCATTCAATTATTGTCTAAAAATTTAATAAATCCTTCAAAACAGTACAATTATTTTTATAAGTAGCAAAGTTCACCTCAAAAATTAAATTATATTTTTGGAAATAATAAAATTTTCTCAGAAATTTAATTATTTTCAATCTAATTTTAATAAACTTCAATAATCAAATATAAAAAAAATAATAATAATAAAATAATATAAACACGATTATGTTAAAAAGTTGAAAAAAATTCTTTGTTTAATTCAATTATTTTCAAAAATTTTAATTCAAATTATTCTAAAAACTTAAAGAAACGCTCTTCAAAAGAATTTAATTATTTTCTAAAAGTTTTAATGAAACTCAATAATTAAATGTGTAATATAAATTATGGAAGAAAGACGATTATTTTAAAAACTTAAAAGAAATTGATTATTAAATTCAATAACTTTCAAAATTTTCAATTAAAAATTACTAAAAAAATTTCCATCATTTGAAAACAAATTCAAAGAAGTTCTTCAAAAGAATTTACAGTAAGTTTGCAGAGAGCATGCTGCTACTAATTTTAATTTATTCTACTAATTTATATTCATTTAAGATTACAAAATTATTTCCAGTAAGGTTAGTGCAATCTTTCTGCAAGCTTGGCATAAGCTTTTGGCATTCTTATCGAAATATTACAGTAAATATTACATCTAATATTGTAATATTGTATATTATATCTAATATTGCATGACAAGCTAGCTACAAGCTACCTGCTTTTTAAATTTGAATTATTACACGGCGAAAAATATATGAAGTAACTATCTGTGTATTGATAGAAATTTTCGTTTCGTTTTTTATAAGTCATTTATTATGTATTGTAAAATCTACGTGTAAGTACACATTTTAATTTTTAGACGTTTCGACAACCCACGTTTGTCATTTTCAATATCTGTAATTGTAAAAATATCGCATATACCAATTACTTTAATTAACTTAATTTTTAAACATAATTTTAACTATCATTTATCAATTATTTTTAGATTTTTTAACATAAATACTCACAGAAGTCATTCGTATAAAATCAACTCCATTAACAACCTATACTTTGGCATTAGTTTTGCAATATTGCACATATTTTTTTATATATTAGTACAGGTATATGAAGTAAGTAATAGTATATTAAGTAAATATATGAAGTAACTCTTACTACTTTTATAGTAAAACATTTCTGGTAACTTTTACTACTTTCGGAATAAATTTTGCTACGTTTGAAGTAAATTTTACTATAATTTTTTACAAATATTTCTTTGAAAGTAGTAAAATTTATTTCGAATGTGGAAAAATTTACTCCGAAAGTTAGTAAAAGTTACCAAAAATGTTGAAACAGGAATGTTTTACTATAACAGTATTAAACTTACTGTATATTTTTCTTCGTGTTAAAATGTTTACTAATTTAAATTAGTGACTGACTTATTGCTTCTGAATTAGTAAAATTTACTAATAAATAGTAATTTCTACTAATAAATAGTAATTTCTACTAATAAATAGTAATTTCTACTAATAAATAGTAATTTCTACTAATAAATAGTAATTTCTACTAATAAATAGTAATTTCTACTAATAAATAGTAATTTCTACTAATAAATAGTAATTTCTACTAATTTATTAGTAAAACTTACTAATTCGAAAGCAAAAAGTCAGTTACTGATTCAAATTAGTAAATATTTTTACTACCGTCAACTGGGGCTATTTTGTGCATCCGGGGGCTATTTTGTGCACGCGAGTTTTTTGATGAAAAAAATTATTAGAATGAATTATTTTAATCTGCTATTTTGTAAAATGAAAGTTTAATTACATGACAATAGAGAGCACTAAATGTTATTATTTAATGCTTTGTCAATTAAGAGAAAAAAATTCCTAAAAACGGAAAATTTGTTTAAAAAATTTTGAAAGTTCGGAAAAATTATACCAGATCTTCTAGAGTTTTAATGTGTCTCATAAACTGAGTTAGATATTTGTTGTCAATTGTGTTGTGATGATACATACGTAATGCGCTAATTTTTTATTCATTATTTTAAGAGAAAAGTGGAAAAAACTGAAAAACCAGGATTCCATGGGGCTATTTTGTGCACTTAAAAAAATCAAATATTTTTCATAAATGTTTTATTTAGTAAGTAAAGAAGATTCTGTTTATCATTTTAATACATTTTTGTCTTACTTTTCTGTAAAAAAACTGTAAATACGTTAATTAAAATCATTAAAACGATTAAAAGCTCAACCGCTGCACAACATAATCTCAAAAAATGAACATTAATTAATATTTATAAGTTTTTCAAATTAGTTTTAAAACTATTTTCTCGTTTCTCTTAAAATGACTTGAAAAGCATATTAGATATTAAATTGTTATCTATTTAACCTTAAAAATATTTATTTCAAGTTTTTTAAAAATATCATTTAAAACTATTAAAAAAGCTCCTATTGAAATGATGTTTTAAAGTTATTTATAAGTGTTTAAACGATCATTTTATAATTATATTAGTATATTATTATAAAATATATATTAAAAAAGAAAAAAATATTATTTACTATCTGCGTAATATACAATTTAAAGAAAGATTGTTAATTTTTAGTAAATCCAGATTTTAGCAAAATTTTAGTGCTTTATTTTACATTTTTTGTATAATATATCTACAAAAAAAATTTTACTAGGTCATTCTTTTTTTAACTTACTCTCAAATATATACACAAAAGATTTCATGAAGCAGAAACGATTAAAAAAATGTTTACGCAACATTATAGGAAAACAAAGTTCGATGCACAAAATAGCCCCATCCCGGGAGTTATTGTGTGCACGACTTTCAATGACTATAACTAAGACAAAAAATTTTTTTTCTTTGCCAAATTTATAGGAAAGCTTCAGAAGGATGTCCACAACATATATCAAAAGTTGATTTTCTTTATTCTCTTAATTCTGAATTTAAATAAATCTTTGAATAAAAAAAAGCTATTTGGTGCACAAAATAGCCCCGGTTGACGGTAATTAAAATTTAGAGAGTATAGAAGCTTACGGCAAGCTTGGAAGATTACATGCTATCTGTTGATGATCATTATCATATTTTCTACAAAATATAAAAATCTTTTTTTTTATTTATATTTATGTAATTGTACATGACTTTATTCATATTTAGAATCATTTATTCAAAGATTGAAAATCATAAACGAAACGAGTTTAAATTTCATATGCAACAAAAAAAAAATCCTCTGTAGTATTTTTCCAGTCAGTTAATTGCAACTTTTCTTTATTAAATCTGAAAATAAATTGCCGACTCAATGTAACCGTATAATAAAAATGTAATTTGAGTTGATAAAGTAAAATTGAGAGCAAGGATCATATCCTGGAGAATTTCTCAAATCGTCCCGACTCCTCTCTTTCGTTTCTTTGCTTTTTTTCGCTTTCTCTCTCTTTTTTCTCTCTTTCTCTCGCTTTCTCGACTTCTCTCACTCTTCTTTTTTTTCTCTCTCTCTCATATTTCTTGACAATATCCTTTGCAAAGTATCTCTTGCACTGTGTGTGCAATTCATAATATCCACCCTTTTTCCCGGTTGCATTACACGAACGTAATACACGTTCAGCGGTGGATGCGACAACATCTCTTTATTTTTATTCTGTATAAAAGCGCGTATCTTCGCCATCTACTGGATGCTGCGCAAGTTTTAAAAGGGGGAAACATGTATTGAACAGCCCGAATGCGCGAGTTGGCGTGCGCCACAATTTCACAATTCCCCAGCAGCTTCGGGTCGCAGTACGCGCAAAAACCCTAATCCGAACGGGAAGGAGTTTTGCGATTCCCCATCGATCATCAAAGCGAAAAGCGTCGCTCGGGAAAAAGGCAACAAAACTTTTCTCTTCAAAAAAAAAAGAAAGAGAGAGAGTCCTATCAACACTATTAAAAATGAGACTCTAAAAGAGAAAGAAAAATCATCATCAAAGAGGTTGAAAAATCATAATGGATCATTCAGAAATAAGAATCATATAGAAACAAGTTTTCCCCAGTTGAAAATTTTGAAACACAACTTTGCAAACAAGAAGGAAAGACAATGAGGCCAAGAATCATTCTATTGTTGAGTTTTTTAGTGTTATGTTCGTTGATAAATCGATCAGAATCGAAATTACAGCAACAGTCAATTGTCGAGGAGGATGAGGATGAGGATGAAGATGATTGGGAGGAGGACGAGGATGAGGACGATGATATTTATGCCTCTAAAACGGAAGTCGATGACGATGGTCGTATTTACAAAAATCCAAGAAATTCACCATCCGCCGAATGTCCACGCGACGAGGAGCAAGCCGAAATGCAGGGACAAAAATGTTTAAGAAAATGTTCAACCGACGAGGATTGTAAGAGTAAAAAGAAGAAATGTCGTTGCGATGGAATTTGTGGTATGTCATGCATCAAACCAGACAGAGAATGTCCAAAGTTAGATGACATAAAGCATGGTGCAATGAGAGTAACGGGTAATAATTTTGGTGATAGGGCATATTATACATGTGATGCTGATTATTATTCGGTGGGTTTATTGGAGAGGACTTGTAGGGCCGATGGACGTTGGAGTGGCAGTAAGCCATCGTGTAAAAATGATTCGAAAACATTTTGCCTTGAACCGCCGAAAATTAAAAATACAAGGCACAATGCATTAATTGAACAAACGTCCTTTGATCTTGACAGTGCGGTGGAATATTTTTGCGATCATGGTTATCAGACCACTGGTTTCCCTACAGCCAAGTGCCTCATGATGGAAGGAGCTGCAAGTTGGTTTGGACCTGATATTGCCTGCGAACCAAAAAGCTGTGGACCTCCTGCGGATATTGCTAACGGATGGCATGCTGGTAAGAATCTTCGTGAATTATGCAAAAAATATCCAATGATTTCTTTTTTCCCTTATTTTTTTGTAGATGCGGGGAAAAAATTCTTTTTTGCATCGCACGAGTGTATTCAGTGGTTATTTTTTCGAGCTTTATCCTTATTTATATCGTGAATTCCTGTAGTGATTTATTGTTGTCTGTAATTATTTTGTTGCGACGTTTTAACATTGTTTGTAATACTTTTGTGTTGTTATATCTTCTGTTTTTAGTTTCTATTCGTTTATAGTTTATATTTTCCGTTATTAACTTGAAAGTATCAAATTGCAACGAATTGATACTAAAAATGTGGACAATCATCAATTTGATCCACTTTAGTATCAATTTGATACTTTCAAGAAAACTGTGTTTGTATTATAGTTTTCTTTTTAGTTCATAGTTTATATTTTATAGATTATGTCATATACTTCGTAGTTTATAGTTTGTAGATCATAATTTATTGTTTGTACTTTATAGTTTGTAGTTTGTAGTTTGCAGTTTGTAGTTCATAGTTTATAGTTTATAACACATTTTTTCTAAGGATATCAAATTGAGACAAAAAACGAATCAAAAGTGTTGCGAACCAACGTTTTGATTCGTTTTTTGTCTCAATTTGATATCATTAGAAAATCTGTGAATTCATAGTTTAAAGTTTGTAGTTTATTTATTGTTTGTGAATTTTTAAGTCATCTTGTGAATGTAAATCTATTCTGTATTTCAAAAGAAACATTTCACTTTCAAGAATATATTTGACGTTTGAATCTTAAAATAAGATATTCTCGTTTTGTTTTATAAAATCTTATTTTGTAAGTTTGCGCTTAAGATTACCAATAAAAGTAAATCACAACAATAATTGAAACAATAATTTCGTTATTACACTGTAAAAAATTTAGGGAGTTAACGGACTCGGGAGTTGGGAGTGAAATTTTTCGAGTTAAAAATCAACTCCAAAAGAGAGTTAATTTCTAACTCCCTTCATTCAACACCCGCGCGAGTTATTTTTTCCTTGGGGAGTTAGCATTTGGGTGTGAAATTTTAACTATCTTTATTTAACTCCCCTGGCATTAACTCCCCAATGGGTGCGACTTTTATAGACTCCCCTGGGGAGTTAAAATTTAACTCCCTTTTTTACAGTGTATATAGTCAAATTCATTGAAAGTTTGTAATTATTAGACTTTATTCACTATGAACAATTTAATTATTGAATTTTATTGCAATTTTACTATTTATAAAAGTAATTGAATTGTTTCGAAGAATTTATTAAAATTTTAGAAAATCATTGAAGAATTGTTTTGAAAAATTTTTTATAACGAATTAAAAAAAAATTAAATTCTTTCGTGAAATTTCAATTAAGGCAATTGAATTGTTTCGAAGGATTTATTAAAACTTTTAGAAAATAATTGAATTGTTTTAAAAAAATTTTTATAACGAATTAAAAAAATGGAATTCTTTATAGTGAAATTTTATTTAAAGCAATTGAATAGTTTCGAAGGATTTATTAACATTTTTAGAAAATAATTGAATTCTTTCGTGAAATTTTATTAAAAATAATTGAATTGTTTCGAAGGATTTATAAAATTTTTTTAAAATAATGTAATTCATTCAAGGAATTTTATTAAAATATAGAAAATGATTAAATTTTTCCAAAAAATATAGATACTATTAAAGATTTTGACAATAATTTAATTCTTTCAAAAAATTTCTTTAATTTTTTAATTATAATCGATTTTGTTAATAATTGTAATTAATTGTAATTAATAATTTTACTATTAAAATTTTATTAAAATTGATGGAAAATTAAACTCTTTTAAACAATTTTATTTCTGTTTTTATAAATAATTCAATTCTTGAGATGAACTTTGCTAGTTATAAAAATAATTGTACTGTTTTAAAAGATTTATTTAAATTTTAGACAATAATTGGATGCTTTCGAAACATTTTATTAAAATTTTAGAAAATAATTGAATTTTTTTTTGGAAAATATTATTAAAAATTAAAAAAAATTGAGTCCTTTCATGAAATTTGCTTAAAATTGTAATAAATATAATTGAATTTTTGCAAACAATTTTACTATTAATAGAAGTAATTAAATTGTTTCGAAGAATTTTTTAAAATTTGAGAAAATAATTGAATTGTTTTGAAAAAATTTTTATAACGAATTAGGAAAAAATTGAATTTTTTCGTAAAATTTTATTGGAAATAATTAAATTGTTTCTAAGGATTTATTAAAATTGTAGAAAATTATTGAATTCTTTCGTGAAATTTTATTGAAAATAATTGAATTAGCATTATACTCATTATTACAATTTATATAATTTATTATTATTTTATATAATATATAATTATTATAATTTTATGTTAATCATTATAATTAAAAACGCCTGAGTTAAAATAAAAAGTGTCAATATTATTTATTTCCTATTTCTGATATTTATCTATTAAAAAAATAATTTCTTGTTGCAAAGTAGATTTTGCTAATCGGAAAAATCTTTTTATAAACTCATCTTTAAAATGAAGATTTAAAATTTCCGTTAAAAAAATTGCATTATTATAAACCCTCTATTTATAAAGTGTATTTTAGTTCTTCGGTGGATATATTTACAAGCAGATAACCGATAACTGCGACACTAGATTGATTTCCATAAAAAACATAAAATTCTTCTATAAAACACGAGGGACTTTTTTTTAACAAGAACTAAAATTATAATTAGTACTGTAACTAAATATAAAATAAGTATTGGAACTAGAATTAAAATTATAAATAGAGTTAGAAACAGTTAGAAAATTCGATAAACTTGCAATAGAAGATTTTAAATTTCTATTCAAATAAAAAATAGAAAAAGAGTTAAAATAAAATAAATTTATAAAATTAATTGACAACAGTAAAAAAATTCGATTTAATAATAATAATAAAAATAGAATAATAGTGAAAATAGAATTTATTTATAAAATTAATTGACAACAGTAAAAAAAATTTACTATTCACTAATAAAATTTTTTTTCACTTAATACAAAACCATAACGAACTCAACGCACCGAATTTCGTTAAAATATATTCAAAATAAATTTCCGTTTCTTCATCTCTAGTGCAAATTGAAAAAAAAACATTAAATTACAAAGAATAGTATGAGAGAAAACTAAAATTAAAAATTTAATTAAATGTCCGATGGAAGGACGCAATACAATCATTGGATCAATTTAAATTTTCCATTTCAAAGTCAAAAGTTTTCGTCCCCGGTGTGTATATAAATGAGAGAATAAAAAAATAGAGAAAGAATAAAACGAGGAAAAAAATTTTTTGATCGAAATAGACGTATCAATATTATATACATATCTAAATATAAAATAAGAGAACGGTAAATTTTTTTTCTCTCTCTCTCTATCTCTTTATACACAATGTAAATTGAAATGATTTGCCTAATGACGATTACCATAAAAAACTTTCAATGAACTTTAAATCCCTATGGCTTATAAATTTTATGCATTTATAAAAAGTTTTCTTTCATGAATATTAGTTTGCAAGTTTTATGAATTTATTGGCTTTAATAAGCTCATATATTACTGACATAAAATTCATTTCATTGAAAAATGAATTTACAATTAGTTTCTCGAAGTGAATTATATTACAATCTTTATTAAAGCAGAGGGGAATTTTAAATTTTCACAAATACTGGTAAAAATTTTCATCTTCCTTTTCAAAAAAGATTCATTTATAACAGGAAAGAGTTGTGAAACTATTTATGTTTCTTTTATGAATACTTTTTTTTTATTATTCGTTATCTTTTTTAATTGTTTATTATTCGTTTATCTTTATTGTCCACTATTAGAGATAATTAATTTTAATTAATACTAATACTATAAAAATAAATAATATTAATGATAACAAAATTAATACTAATGATATAAATAAAATAATATTTTTACATTTCCTACTAATAATGTTAATTAATATTAATATTAATATTAGTAATAACCACTTCTCTCGTAAAGCAAAAAAAAGGAAATAACAATAATATTAATTATTAATTGTTATTAGTATTATTAATATTAGTCATTATTTGTATTAAAAATTATTAGTATTATTAATCTATTATTAATTATTATAATTAAATATCTTTAAACCTTTAATTAGTCTGTAAACATTTATTATTCATTATTGGATATTCATTAATATTAATTAATATCCATACTATTAATATTTATATCAATATTGCTACTATTATTAATGTCAATATTAATACTATTAAAGAAAAAATTATTGGTAAATGTAAATGTAATTTATTGAATCAAAATTATTTAATTAAAAATTTATTTATCGATTTTACTATTATTATTAATACAACAAATTATTTTTAATTTATTAATATTGTTATTATATTTCTTTTATTAATGTTGTTATTATTGTTAATATTATTGTTATTGTTTAATGTTCTGTATTATTATTGTTATTAAATTTCTTATAATAACGTTGCTAATATTGTTAATATTATTAATATTGTTATTAATACACTAAAGTTATTATTTATTATTATCAATATTTTATTACACGATATACTTTAAAAAATGATTTGAAAATTCTTCATAGAAAAATTGAGAGAGAAATATAATTTTCTTCTATTTTTTGCTTAATATTAAATTCATGTATCAATATTTTTCAATGAAATTTTATTATCTAATAAAGTTTTACTGACTTTATTGAATAAAAACTTTTGTAGCAATTTCTTTTTATAAAATTATTTTTAGAGTGAAGGTAGTTTATAAATTTTTGATTGAAAATAGATTAGTGTCGTTTTATGTGTGATAATATTATAATTTGGAATGATGATAAATTATTATAATTAATAATAATTTAAATATAATAAATTATAATAATTAATAATAATTTAAATATAATAAATTATAATAATTAATAATAATTTAAATATAATACTAAATATATTATAAATATGATTTCATATTTTAGAAAATTTGGTAGATAAACGTGTCAATTTCGCTTTTAATTATCAGGTGAATGTTACACTTACGACTGTCGCGTTTCCTATCACTGTGCCGACACTTACGAATTGGTTGGCCGTGCCGAGAAAATCTGTTTAGCTGACAGTAGTTGGTCACCTAAAGAATCGCCCCAATGTGTTCAGGTCAGTTGAACATTTTACAAATTATTTTTCCCTTTCTTCTCTTTTTCCAAACATTTTTTTTCTTTTTTCTACTATTTTTTTCCTGTACCATTTTTCCCTTTTCAATCATTTTTTTTTGCTACTAATTTTTTACTAACGCTGTTCCACTATACTAGTCAATACTAAATAGAGTTAAAGTTTTTATTATTTATTTTTATTGTTAAAGAATAAATAAATAAAAATTTGTTTATTCGTGAATAATGAAACTATTTTTTCTTTTTGTTATTAAAAAAATATTTTTACTTTCTGTTATTATTAATTACAAACAGTATTTTTACTTGTTGTTATTATAAACATTAAAAATAGTTTTATTGTCCTTTGTCTGATTTTCTTTTTAGTACTCCCAAAATTAATTTTTTTATTTACCTACATAATTAATTAACCAATTAATTTTCAAATCAATTTTATTTATTTTTTATTACAAATTTCTATTGCAAAAATGAATTGCAAGTTTTTTCTTCCTTACCAGAAAATTTACGCCATAAAATAAATACAGAAAGAGAAGGATAAAAAGAATTCAAAGAACAAAAAAAAACAAAAGATTGTCAATGTGTGATACAGGTAACGCAGGTACAGTGTCCACCGCCAGAGAATCCTCGTTATGGAAATGCTGTATTCACATCCGTCGGGTACAATTCCGTAGTGTCTTATGAGTGCAAGCATGGCTATACCATAGTTGGAGTTGGGACGAGGCGATGCGGCTCCGACAGAAGATGGACAGGACAAACGCCAACGTGCAAGGAGATCAACTGCGGATCACCAGGAATCCTTTACAACGGTTGGATCGACAACATCGAAGCAGGTATTTTCAAGGCAGACGAATAGCTTCCAATTTATTCATCAAGCTTTCCATTGTTTTTCACATTACCCACGTCTTTCCTTTTCTCAAAAAAAAAAAAAAAACACGAAACAAAAAAAAATTACACTTCAATCCGCACTCTTTTATTAGAATAATCTTTGATCTGGAGATTTTTATTCATTCTTCTTGCAAAAGGGATTAACCGACACTTTAATTCTTAATTTCCTACCATGTTGTTCTTGTTGTTGTGACCATTCTTAATTTTCTTTGTTGTTTTGACCCATTCTTAATTGTTTACTCTGTTATTTTGACCACACTTAATTTTGTACTATGTGGTTTTCACCATTCTTGATTTTCTTTGTTGTTGTGATCATTCTTAATTTTCTTTGTTGTTTTGGCGATTCTTAATTTTTTACTCTGTTATTTTGACCACACTTAATGTTGTACCTTGTCGTTTTTACCATTCTTAATTTTCTTTGTTGTTTTAACCATTCTTAATTTTTTATTGTTATCTCGACCACTCTTAATGCTGTACCTTGTGGTTTTCACCATTCTTAATTTTCTTTCTTGTTGTGACCATTCTTAATTTTTACTCTGCTATTTTGACCACTCTTAATTTTGCACCTTGCGGTTGTGACTATTCTTAATTTTCTTTGTTGTTTTGGCCTTTCTTAATTTTCTACTCTGTTGTGTTAGCCACTCTTAATTTTCTGCCTTGTTGTTTTGCCCAATCTCAATTTTCTTTGTTGTTTTAACCATACTTAATTTTCTACCATGTATGTAGAATATGTTGTATTAACCAGTTCTTAATTTTCCACTTTGCTGTTTTGATAAATCCTAATTTTTCACTTTATACTTGTAAAAGTACTCAATTTTCTACTTCTTTTTTTTTGTCAATGCCCCCAGGAACTGGATTAGGTGCGAGCATAATATTCCGTTGCAACGACCACATGAAATTCGAAGGCAACACAACATCCGTTTGTCAGACCGATGGTAAATGGCGAAATCCACTTCCACAATGCTTGGCACCGTGTGTTGTGCCACAAATTGATAATGGTCAAGTAATAAGCACCATTGAAGATGGTATAACTAATAATGAAACTGTAACTGTTGTTGACCATGGTGTACAATTAATTGTTGGCTGCATTGATGATTACGAATTTGCCGCCAATAACACTCCGGTTATGTGCAATAATGGTACATGGTCAATTGTACCATCATGCTCGCCAGCACGATGCAAGCAAATGCCAAAAGCACCAAAAAATGGCATGGTCATTGCTCCAAAGACTGAGCATGGAATGAAGGCGGTTTTCAAGTGTAAAGATGGTTTCGAACTTGTTGGAGGTGGTCCATTCAATATGTCATATTCGGTGGAGTGCAGCTATGGAAATTGGATCGGAGATATTCCATTTTGCGTCGAGGTTTATTGTCCATTCCCTGGATTCGTCAAGAATGGAAAGGTGCTTTTGGTTGGCAACATGGGAGTCTATGATTATAGGTAATAGGTAGCATCAAGATTTGTTTTAGTTTTTTGTTTGATATTTCTGTTATTTTTTATGATCTTTGTTACTTCTTTGTCACAATCTTTATCATCATCATCGTCATCTTTTGTTACTTCTTCTTTTTCTCTTTCTTCTTCTTTGTCTTCTGTTTCCTTTTTCGTGTTTTGTTTTTCGTTTTCATTACCAAATGGATTAAAAATCAGAAAAGGAACTTGAAAAATCTGTTCGCAGACCCTACGTGAAGAAGGTGATCAACAACAAGCAAATAATGTACGACTGTGACAAAGGTTATTACCTGAGTGAAGGTCCACCGGGAGCGACATGCATAAGTGGCAACTGGAGTCCCCGTGAACTTCCCATTTGCTCTCTGGGTCAACATCCACGAATTCGATGGAACAGACGAAGAAGATCAGTGCACGACGAGGGACGCAATCAAACCGTTGTCACAGCATATCGAAAATTTATCGACTTCTTCAGAAAAGTTGGCAAAAAACTCCTCCACCTTGAAATGAGAAAGAATACAACATCCTTGAGAAACACAACAGAACTTGAATCATCAAACACAACACTTCAAACAACAACAACCACAACAACAATAAAAAATCGAACAAATCACAACAGTGGACGTTCACGTACAAGAGATGAGAAAATGGTAGAATTTTTAAAAGCAATTTATCGCAAATTACAGCGAATCGATACAAAACATTCGGATAATCGTACAAATGTAACAATGCACGATCTATTGAATGTTATAAGTAAAAATTTTTTCCACGTTGATTTATCACAACCAAGAAGAAATTCAACAGGGAAAAGTCGCGATAGTTTCGAGGTCAGAAATCAACGGGAGTTTACCAAGTTAAAGAGGGAGTTTGAAAGAATCGTGAAATTCTATAATAAGACCCTAAGATGGTATGAGAAGCAATCGAGAAAGGAATCGAGAAAGAGAAATCAAACCCGAGTTGAAAAGGGTAAGAAGAAAGATAAGAAGAAGCACAAAGTGTCGAGCACGTACAAAGGCTTTTACGAGTTCATTAACGACTACGTGAACGAGAAATTGTCCATGTTGGAAACTCAGAATGCAACCGAGGAACTTATCAAAAAAATGAAAATCGATAAAATGACTGTTCGCAATGGCACTTCATTTACAGTCGGTGAAATTTATACGTTCTTCAAACATATCATAGAAAATAAACTCAATTCGTCAAAATCAAGTGATGATAATACGACTGAATTAATATCCCCAGCATTGTCAACGGAACAAAGTACAATTTTATCAAATACCAGTGATTCATCATACAGCAATGAAATACCAACAGTTGAAACTAAAAGTGATTTTCCAAAGCATCGAAGTCGTCGGATAAGAAATATTTCCGATTGGACATATTCATTAATGGCACCGGCAATAAGATCCGATGGACCAAAGGGACTTTGGTGGCAAAAAATACCGAGACGAAATAATAATGATGATGATGTTAAAAATAATAATAATAATAATAATGATAATCGTGAGAAAAGACAACTTCCATTATCCGAGCTTGATAATCAAATGAAATCAATAAAACTCTTAATAAATAAAGTCAACAAACGAAATAATTTAAAGCGTACAATTTTAACGTCAGACAATCTGATGAGTACGCATTACGTCTTTGGAAAATCTAATACCGGGACGAAAAATAAATGATGTTATTGTGATATTATGGAATTTATTATTAATAATCGATACCAGCCAATTTTAGGTAATTATACACATTATACGATAGTTCATCAGTTTTCCTCTCGTCCATTAAATTAACCTTAATATGTACACTTTTTGACGAAAATAAATCTTTTCCATGCAGATAAATTTTTTACTAAATTCCTTATGAATTTTTCTTTTTTTTACTTTTCTTCAGGATTTCCACAGGTCAGGGAAGTGAGGGAAAAGATTTTTCTTATTTCTTCATAAATCCTAACAAAATTCTTCACTGAAATTGAATTATCTTTAGGAATTTCGATAAAATTCTTTGCAAAATTTAATGATTTCCATAAATAAAAATTTTCATCACAGGAATTTAATTATTTTCAAAAGTAATACAAATATTCGTAGAAATTCAATTATTTTCAAAAAATTTAACGAAATTTAACTCATCAAGAATTCAGTTTATTTATTAAAACTCGACGAAAGAATTCGATTTTAAGAAACATTCAATTATTACATAAAATAATAAAATTCGTTGCAATAATTCAATTATTTTCATAAATAACTTTTAATTCATCGTAGAAAATCAATTATTTTCAAAAAATTTCAAGTAATTCTGCAAAATAATTCAATTTTTTGGTAAAGAACAAAATTCTTCCCATAAAATTAATTATTTTAAGGAATTTTAATAAAATTCTTTTCTAAAATTCAATTATTTTGATAAATATCAAAATTTAGCATAAGAATTCAATTCTTTTGAAAAAGTAATAAAATACTTTGCAGAAATTAAATTATTTTCAAACATTTTAACTATTATCTCGTCAAAGAATTCAATTTTCTTTATAAATAGCAAAATTTTTCACAAAAAATTCAATTATTTTCATCAATTAAAATAATTTTTTTTGCAAAATTTGAATTATTTTCAAAAGTTTTTAGCAAATCAATGATTTTCAATATTTACTATTTTTATAAAATTTATCACAAAATATAGTTACTTTATTAGTTTTTTCTTGTGCATTGTTTTTAAATAAAAAATAGTTATTTTATTTAAAAAAAGAATATTATCGAGATAAATTTCAATTCAATTATTACGAGGAGAATTTAAAAAAAAAAGAATTACCTTTATTGTCTTTTGTCATTCGATATGACATTATCGATAATTCGAATATTGCAAGAGAGTGATGCAGTGGCAAGAGTAATTAAAGTTAAATAATCATCGCAGAAAAGAGAGGCCTCGTGATTCACCCTTCAGACACTCGAGCTGCTTGTCAATATCGAAATCGAGATCCAATTAAAATCTGTGTTTCGATTTAACAGCGACTATTAATTATTAATTTATTATTTGTAATTTCTCTACCGGGAAAAAAAGATTTCTTTTTTAAAGAAAGTAATTTATTAAGAAGAATTATTAATTCGTATAGTAATAAATTATAATTATTAATCGAAAATTTAGAATTAATACAAATTTAAAAATTTAGAAGTAAACTAAATTCGAGAATTTGTAAGTATAAAATAAGTTGAAGAATTTTTTTTCTAACGTTTATTTTGGAATATTATTTGAAAATAGAGAAGGAGAGCAAAAGTAGAAGAGAGAGAAGGAGAAAGAAGGAAATATTTGAAGAGAAAGCAGTTCTTGTAATCCTGTAAATTTATTAAAGCAACGTCATTAGTGGTAAAGCGTCGTAACATAATCAAAGAGTATCTGTGAAGCTCTTAGCACTTGCATATATATGTGTATAAAGGAGTAAAGGAAAATCAGAGTGTGCACGCACTACTAATTCGTTTGCTGGAGCAAATTACTCAAGCACATTATTCAGTTGCTCTTCTCAGTCATGATTACACGAACCCAGCGCTAATCACTCTAAACATTGAAACCCCTACGTGATAATTTCGTTACTCCCGTCCAGATCTGGTTTCAAATACTTAGCATCTCACGTCTAACGCGTTTTGTCTTCTCCTGTAAATAGATCTTAATTTTTTTTTTTCTGAAAAAGGAGAGAGAGAGAGAGAAAATAAGCTAATTGCAAAACAGTTTTTACTTACTTTAACGCTGCAAATATTGTTTCTTACTTTTTTTTACCTTTTTATTAAATAATTAAATAATTTTTATCTTCTATTTTTACTAACTTTTTTTTTACTTTAATTACTAATTTTGTTCTCTAAACAATGGTTTTTATCTAAATTTCCTATTCCAAAATTCTGGTCTTCAAATTTTTTTTTTTCTTCAATTTTACTTTTACATTAATGTAAAAGTCTAACTAGGGTAGAAAAGAACCCCAAAATTGTTTTGTTGCTAAAATCTTCATATTTATCGAAAAATAACATTATCATAGGAACGTTTTTTTTTTTATTTTTTATAAAGAAAAGGTTAGCATTTTTTAATTTTCGATATATGATGAAAAAAATGGCCAAGAAATTACGAAAATCGAAACAAAAAACATAAAATTTAAAAAAAATGCAAAGTTTAAAATATTTTAAAAAATTGTAACAAAATTCTTGGTAAAATTTAAATTATTTTCAAAAATTTTAATAATATTCTTGGTAAAAGTTGAATTTTTTTCAAAAAATTTTCCTGAATTCAATCATTTTTAATATCTACTATTCTAGTAAAATTTTCCTAAGGAATTCAATTATTTGCAAACTTTCTAAAAAAAATTCCTTCGCAAATTCTTAGGAAAATTTCAATTATTTTCAAAAATTTTAAATAAAATTCTTCGTGAAAATTCAATTATTTTTAAAAAATTTCAACATTTAATGATCTTTAATACCTACGATTTTAGTCAAATTTTCCAAAAGAATTTAATTATTTTAATAAAATTCTACGCAAAACATTTAATTATTTTCATAAATAATTAAAATTTTACAGGAATTTAATTATTTACAAATTTTTTACAAATTTCTTTGCAATATTTCCATTATTTTGATAAATATTTAAATTTTTCACAGGGATTCAATTATTTTCATAAAGAATAAAATTATGCGCAAAAATGTAATTATTCCGAATACAATTTTAATAAAACTTCTCTAAAGATTTCAATTATACTTTGAATATAATAAATAAATAAATATAAAAATTCAATTTTTTTGAATATAATTTTAATTAAATTCCTTGATTATCACAAATTATGTAAAATTATAAGTAATAAAAAAATTCTTCACAAGAATTCAATTATTTTTACAAATAATATAATTTTTCAAAAGTATTTAATTATTTAAAAACATTTTTATAAAATTCCTTCAAAAAAATCAATTATTATCACTTTTAACAAAAATTTATTGCAAAATTTCAATTACTTCCGAAAAAATTTAAATTTTTTAATGGAATTCAATTAAAATTGTATTGAAAATGATTCAATTCTTATAAAGAATTGTATTTTTATAAATAATTTATAAATATACTTATTATTTATAATAAAATTCTTCACAGGGATTCAATTATTATTTCATAAAGAATAAAATTATGCGCAAAAATGTAATTATTCTGAATGCAATTTTAATAAAACTTTAATTACTTTCAATAGTTTAAAATTTAAATAAATTTCTTTATAAAAATTCAATTATTTTCAGTTTTAATAAAAATTCATTGCAAAATTTCAATTATTTTCAAAAATTTTTAATTCTTTCATGGAATTCAATAAAAATTTTATTGAAAAAATTATGTCATTCTTATAAAGAATTATATTAAAATTCTTAAGAATAATTGATTTCTTTCGAAGAATTGCATTAAAATTTTTAAAATAATTGAATCGTGTCGAGAAATTTTTTTTAATTCTATATTGATAATAATTGAATTCCTACGAAATAGTATTATCAAAATTTTTTTAATTATTTGAATTTCCCCAAAAATATTGATATTTATGAAAATAATTGAATACTTGCAAAGAATATTATTAAAATTTTTCTAAATAATTGAATGTCTGCCAAGATTTCTATTATTATTTAACAAAAATATTTAAATTCTTGGGAAAAATTTTATTAAAATTTCCAAAAGTAATTGAAGATCTTCAAAGTATTTGTTATTTTTCATTTATGCCAAAAATTAAAAAAAAAATTTGAAAATAATTGAATGTCTAGGGTCAAAAATAAAAAAGTGCGATTTTTTAACAAAAAAGATTTGGTTCTTACGGGCATGTGGAATCAGCCAACTTCAATTAATACATGTATTAATATTCCCACCGGTTTTCTTCAAAAATATAAAATAAATCTTGACAAAATATAAGAAAAATAATATTTTATTTATTGAGGCATAGATCTCTAGTCCAATTAATACAAAAATTTGCTTTTAAATATTATTTTTCATTTCATAAAAAGTTTGATATTTTTTGAGAAAAGAAGACAATCAAATACAAATTAATATTGAAAAAAATGAATAAATTTATATTTTTCTATTCAAACTTTCATTTTTTTGACAATTTTTGAGAAGAAAAGACAATTGAATACAAATTGTCATTGAAAAAAATGAATATTAACATAGAAAAATATAAATTTATTCATTTTTTTCAATATTAATTTGTATTTGATTGTCTTTTTTTCTCAAAAAATATCAAACTTTTTATTAAATGAAAAATAATAATTAAAAGCAAATTTTTGTATTAATTGAACTGGAGATCCATGTCTCAATAAATAAAATATTATTTTTCTTATATTTTGTCAAGATTTATTTTATATTTTTGAAGAAATTCGGTGGGAATATTAATACATGTATTAATTGAAGTTGGCTGATTCCACATGCCCTTAAAGGAGTAAACCTTCACTCATGAAAAAGAGGGGGAAACAGGTGAGTGGGGAGAGGGCAGAAAAAAGAGTGTCCACTGAAACTTGTGAAGCAAAAGCTGATTTCGACTTATAGACTAATAAGATTCTAATCTTTTTAATTCCATCAACATAAGAGGGAAAGGGAATAAATTTTTTTTGTTTAGGAAAAAAAAGAGAAACTGCCAGGTGGTGACTACTGGAATAATCCGACAATAACTTTTCGAGACTGTCAATGACTGAGAGAGAGAGAGAAACAGAGATTTCTCTCTTTCTCTCTCATTGACAATATAATATTCTGTCGAGTTCATTGAATCAAGTAGTGACGAGGGAGTCGTAGTAGTCTGGTCACAGACGATGATAATCTTATTGAGGCAGTACCAGAGAGGAGTTAAGCGGTGCGGGCT